TTTCACGTAAAATTGAGCACCTGAGAACGAGAGCAACGTTACTTAATTTCACTTCATTTCGAGAAATTCTGACGAGCTGTTTAATAGGTGTTTTGAAGAAATAATGTGTGCTATTAGAGGTTTCATTTTTCAGTAATAGAATGGGATTAGAACAGAGTAGAATTATGGGAAAATGACGAACTGAACTTTTTCTTTTTTATTCTTTCTTTCTTTTCTTTTCTTATTTTGCATATTTGAAAAATTTCATAAAAGAATTTGCTATTTATCTTGACGAATTGTTTGATCTAATTTAAGAAAGTAACTTAATATAGTAATATTAATATTCCCAGTCTTAGAAAAGGACAACGACAAAGAGAAATTAGAACAAACAACTTAAAAATTTGAAACAAATATTCATTTGGTGTAATTTTAAAAAGTGATACTTAATGCTTCAAAATTCATCAGTTATTGAAAAATTCACCAATTTCTCAAAAAATTCTGGCAAACACTATGTTGAAATAAAATTCCAAAATTACAGATCGATTTTGCTATCGTTCCAAACAGAAACAGGAAATTCACCCAAATTTTATCAGCCATTTGATCAAAATTTTAAAACAAATCTCCTTTATCTTCAACCGTACTCGAAGATTAACTACAAACTTGTCAACATTTTTCCCCAAAATCCTCCAAAAAAATGAATCACCTAACCTCACGGAACAATGTGATTTATGGAACCCAAGCGATACCGCATTCATAACTGTATCCACGATTGTGTACGGTTAGGTGAGAGAAGCGTTGAAAATTTCTCTTCGGGAAGCGTGTTTTATCTGCGAAAGAAAACTCCTTCGTCAAGATTCTTTCGCACCAACAGGCCGTGAAACCGATCAAGAATCATAGCGAGCCAATTTTCGCCAATGACTCTTTTCTTCTCTCGCTATTTCTCCTCGGTATAAACGGGAAAAACCGTGGAAATAAAGCGTATCGCGTCTAACAAGGGAATACCTTCAAGTAATAATCACCGAAATTGATGAAACTTTGGTGTGTAATAGTTCTCAAAAAAATATTTGATACGTATTTTTTTAAATTGACAATCGTTCATACTGAAAGAGTGAAAATGGCCCTGAAATATGAAGATAATAATCATATTTGGTCAAGCATATTTATTATTTTTTATTTTTCAGATTTCTTGTTGAAAAATGCAAAATTCGCCAGGTTACGGTATTCCTCTATTTCCAATATTTCTTGCTGAAAAATGCAAAATTCGCCAGGTTACGGTATTCCTCTATTTCCAATAATTTTCGAGATATTAGAATAAATATATTTACTATCCACTTTGGAGGGCGATTTTCATCCCTTCACTGCAGACCAGTGATTTCTAATCTTTTTTGTCCCAGGACACATAAAATAATTACTACAATTCTACGGCACACCAAAAAATATATCATATTTTTCGTTCATCAGACAAAAAGTCAAATTTTTCACTGATTTACAAAATCAATATTTTTTCCATTTTCGCTCTAAAACTATTTCTCCCACTATGCATCAAGCGACACTTAACGATACGCGAAGGAAATTTTGCCAACATGAACTTGCATTAAAAAATCATAGACACACTTGTGAATCTCTCAAAAACAATTTCGAAAACAATTTTTTACAGATCTCCTATACATCAAACTTCCATCAAAATCGACGATCATCACATCAGGATGTTCTCCCAGAAGTAGGCGAGCCACCGTTACGCTCGTCGATCTAAGAAAGCTCATCGACAATTTCAACGCTGTGTACCGCCTAACTTTCTAAAATTCACGCGAAAGTCGAACCAGGGTCGATCTACCAACTTCTTCGTCAAGATTCTTTCGAACCGACAGACCATGAAACCGATCGAGAATCATAGCGAGCCAATTCTCGCGAACGAGAGACTCTCTTCCTACGGCGTGAACGCGAAAAATCGTGGAAACGAAGCGTCCAAGTAGGGAAAAACCAAGTGTTACGCTCGTTGAACCTAAGAAAGCTCATCGGCGATTTCGACGCACTTGTGTATCGCGCCTAGCTTTCTAACGATCGCGTTCCCGCGAAAGTCGGAACCGGCGTGTCTGCTTAAGAACGAAAACTTCCGCAACTTCCGTTTCTCCGTTCCGTTTGAATTTCGCGAACTGTACGTGTGTTGGGAGACACGCGTTCTTACACGGGGATAGAGTTAACCGAAGTCGAGGACGGTTGTTACGCCAACTGTTTCCGCGACGGACGCTAGTTTAAGTCGAAATGTCGCCGAAGAAACGAACTTTTAATCCTGCTACCATTTAAATTGCATTCGGTGCCCAAGGTTCCAGCTGGCATGGGCCTCGTTTAAACGTCTTCGACGCCACTTTTCGGTTCTTGTACGTGAAAATTAATCGGTAGACGGAGTGGATATTATTTGGAAACTATTTTGTATACGAATATTCTCAATTTTTAGCGTGCAGGAATTAAAACGACGGAATAAATTTTGTTTAATCGAAGTCACTTTTTTTTTAATGTATTCGTAGATCGAATAAAATTTGGGGAGTTTGTTTTGTACAGCAGAATTGGAAGAATTGCATCGCTGAATTGTGAAAGGTTCAATTCTTTAGTGTAGAAAATTTTGTAAGAGGTTATTTTTATTCTTTTTTCTGCTTTGCATGTTTAAGTGAACGTTCAAATTGCGAAATTGCAGTCTTTGCAAAATTCTGGGGAATGGCAGAGAATTTTTGTTGTATCAAATATATTGAAATTTGGGGGAAACCGAACACTGATAAAACAAAAATAAATAGTTAGAGTTAGAGTAGTATTTAAAGTATTTTGAAGGTAATTTCTTATTTTTTAAGCGAATTTCAAGGTTGTCTTAACCCTTTGCGATCGGCACATTTCTCTGGTTGAACTATCAGCTAGTCGGAGCAAATTTAGATTTTCAAAGTTATTTTTGCATAGTTGATTTATTATATATATAAGGATATTGAAAAACAGAATATTTTGAAACTGATATACTTTGTTTAATACATTCTAGTTATAGTGCATAAAAATAAAACGTTTTAACTTTTGTAATTTTCCAAAGTATGATACTTGACAAAACAAAGATCATGCCGCCATAGTGGCGACACCGATTTTTAGAACAAAATTGAAATGCCGCCACTATGGCGGCACCGATCGCAAAGGGTTAAGTTCCTGCAGTTTGTCCACCATTTTCTACAGTTTCTTGCGAAATGAACGATTAAATGGAACGATATGAAGATAGTTAAACGTAACACCGTGTATTTCAAGTGTAATATTGGACCGTTTATTTTGAAAGTGGTGCAAGTCCATTTTTTTTTTAATAAATAAAAAGTTTACACTAAATTAATCACAAATTATGTGATCTCATTTTTTAAAAAATGGACTTACACCACTTTCAAAATAAACGGTCGAATATGTTACTTCGGAACGTTTGGAATAGGAAACAAAAGTAAGATTAATTTTGCAAAAGTATATTAAAATAAGAGAGGAGGTGAGATGTAAGAAAAAAAAGCTGTCGGTTAACTTTACGTGTGAGGTATGTTTGAGATCTTGTACAAGAAACTTTCTCTCAAAAATCTCTTGTGCAGATGGAACTCCATTTGTAGATGTTCTTAGCTAGATCGTCGAGAGGGTGTTACTTCCTTGACCTCGATTCTTGTAGAACTTCGCTAGCATTCAATCTACATCGTACGCGCGTTCAGGTGTTCAGAAAACGGGAATAAGCTGTTTAAAACGAAACTGGCGAAATTTCTTGAATGTCGTGAAATCGCGTAATCTTCCGTTTCGTAAATAATTTAACGGAGAGTAAAATTTGTAATCTTAATAGATCTAACATTGAAAAATTTCTGAGAGGAAATGAAGGTTTAACTATATTCATATCGTTGCATTCAATTGTAGATTATTCGCCAAAAATAATAAACTGTAAAATGAAAAACGTAAATTCAAATTTTCTTTGAATTCAATCGATAGAAGTATCAAGTCAGAGTAGTTAAAAGTGTCTCAAGGAATTGTCACGTTGGGGCTGAAAAATGTTGAATAGTCGAACTATTCGAATAATTCGAATATTCGGATAATTTCGAATACGAATTCTTTATTCGGATAATTCGAATATTCGGATAATATTGAACTCGGATGATTTCGAATTCGGATAATTCGAATATTCGGATAATTTCGAATACGAATTCTTTATTCGGATAATTCGAATAGTCGGATAATATTGAACTCGGATGATTTCGAATTCGAATAATTCGAACATTCGGGTAATTACGAATTCGGATAATTTCGAATGCAAATTCTTTATTCGAATGATTCAAATACATAATTCGAATATTCGAAGTGTTTGAATTTCGGATTGTGCGGAATATTTCCTACATTTCGAATATTCCACAATATTCAACTATTCGAAATTGAAATCCCAATTCTACCGATGTTCAAATATTCGAAATTGAAATCCGAATTCTACTGATATTCAAATATTCAAATATTTAACTATTGGAAATTGAAATCCGAATTCTACTGATATCCAAATATCTAAGTATTCAAAATTGAAATCCGAATTCTACCGATATTCGAATATTCAAACATTCCACAATATTCAACTATTCAAAACTAAAATCCAAATTCTACTGCTATTCGAATATTCAAATATTCGAATTCTCGTAACATCCCCGAATTCGCAACTAGCTTCCTAAAAGAAAAGGTCAACAAAAATTCGAAAACGTACAAAATTGTCATGCCAAAGGAGATCAGAGTTTCGTGGTTATTTCAGAAGAAGAAAAAATATAAGTAAAAGGACAAAACACGAATCAGCATCAACAGACGTGAACAACGAAACAGAACAAAACAAAAAAACAAGAAAAAAAGAAGCAGAACGAGAAAAATAATAAAATCAAAGCGAGATTCGACGTATCCTCGTGGTACAAGGCACGGGCGATAACGTTTCATAATCTCGCCAGAAATCGACCCTAAACGTTTTAACTCTATTAAGGAGAGTTTACGTTAACGGCAATTACCTTGTTCGTAGCCGCAGCCCTTGTGTTTTCCGTTCATAATGTCCTGGAACAGGGTTTTGTCGGCGTCGCTGTCGTGCAGCTTCGTCGACACGGCCACACACAGGTTCTTAGTGGCGTCCCAGGCACAATGTGGATCCTGCAGGGCGACGCAGGAGGCGCAGGTGGCCGCTGCCGGTGCGTCGCAATAGTGGAGCGGAATAGCGCGAATTTCGGAGTCAGCAAACACGACCAACTTGCTCGCCTCGCCGGCCAGGTGGACCACCAACAGATCCTTGATCGCTTGTCCTGAACGTGAACCGAATTTCAGACTTGAAATCCCGTAGTGTAGGGATAGGATTGTCGAACAACGTATAAAAGCGTACCTTACGATACGTACACTGCCAACGATTTATCGAAAATTTCGCGAAGCTTGAAGTTTCAACGGGGGTTGTGAATATGTTTGGGTAATTAATTAAAAAGGATTATCGTGTGCGTGAAATTGTAAGAAAATATATGTCTCGATTATTACGTGTGTGAAATTGAAAGAAAAATTGACGTCTTTTTTGTTTAGTGGCGGAATTTTCTGAAGCTAATTTATTTTTGAATCAATTTGCATATATTCTTAGATTAAATCGAAAATTCGCGAAGTTTGTACGGGAGTTGTGAATATGTTCGGATAATTAATTGAAGGGATCATTACGTGTGTGAAATTGTAAGAAAAATTGATGTCTCTTTTATTTAGTGACGGAATTTTCTGAAGCTAATTTATTTTCGAATGAATTTGCATATAATCTTATGTTAAAAAATGATGTGCAAATGTGGTCTAAATCGAAATTTGAATACTATCTTCAGCTCTTGTACATTCTACCAAATTACGTATTACCTTCACGTCAATTCAAGTAATATGAAATCTTAAAAAATGATGTGCAAATGTGGACTAAATTGAAATTTTAATACCATCTTCAACTCTTGGTCATTGTACCCAATTATGTATTATCCAAGAAACATTGATGTCTTTTTTATTTATTGACCGAATTTTCAGAAGCTAATATATTTTCGAATGAATTTGCATATAATCTTATGTTAAAAAATGATGTGCAAATGTGGTCTAAATTGAAATTTGAATACTATCCTCAGCTCTTGTACATTCTACCAAATTACGTATTACCTTCACGTCAATTCAAGTAATATGAAATCATTCTCTTTTTTCTTCCATGAAATTTCTTATTTCTACTTGCAGAGCACCTGTTATTCCATTAAACGACACCACATTCGCAGCATCTGCATTCAATTTACTCGCATTAGCTGCTTCGTCACGTCGATCGTGAAGTTTTCGTCACAATTCGCCGGGATATGTAGGACAGAATGAGTAACGAAAATAATCGAAAATTTCAGACTCATTCACAATTCATAAAATAGACAACAATCATAAAAGATTCTATACTTTTTCCACAGAAAATTCTACAATATCGCCATCGTACGTTTTTTCAACAAAAAAAAAAAAACAAAAAGTCGCGTCACAGTGAAATTCAACGGGTTGATTAAATTGTTGGGAATTAAAGTTTAGATCGTTCCTCGAAATCTCCTGTCTTGCATCCTGCAATTGGGTTGACGCTTATCGGATGCATTCGATCGAACGTCGAATTTCACGATGCAGGGAACAGGTTTTATTCAGAGTCGAAGAAGGTCGGCGGAGAAATGTTCGTAGGATTGCTTACCGTATTTCAGCACTTGAACGTCGCTGATTATAACCTGGCTAACATTGCTCAGAGAATCAGGCGCGCGAGTGTTGAGCGCTTTGAGAACTCGGCCGTCGTCTACGCATAATTATGAAATTGTCATAATTAGATCTGTGAAAGTGCTTTTGTTCGTTGTTGTAGCGCAGAATTGTGCGCCAACTCACCTGTTCCTACGTAAAGGATGTCGTAGCCCTTGCCGTCTAACGCCTTCACTTGAGGATCCACGGCGACTTTGGTAAATCTGTAACTGTAACGTGGAGTTTCCTGTTTAATTGAACTTCGTGTCAACACTGGATTACTTCGACGAACGTATTAATGGGATTTCAGTATAATTAATTTTATTAGATATCGTTTTATTACTTTGCATAAATAATTTTGTTACAAATAATTTTATTACTTTGCATGTATAATTTTATTACATATAAAGGTAATATTGTACGTAGATTGTGTAGATTTGTTAAGCGCGAGTTTCAAGTGCAGGGAAAAGTAGCAAGACGCAGTTAATAACGTGCAACGCACGACTCTATCCAAGAACAATTAAATAGTCAACCGAGGTGTTCCACGAGACGCCGCAGATCATCTGGGCAACCGACCGTCGGTAACCTAGAGAACTTTCTCTAGTCTAACAAGATTTTTGTTAAGCAATTTATGTGGTAGCTGTAGCAGGTACTTTTCAAGTATTTCTGTTTTTTCTTTAATTACAAGTTTAACTCGTTCGTTACTATTGGCGCCTATAGGCGTTTTGAAAATTTTGACGCACTTCCACTTTAATTTGATACTTCATTTTATCCTGTACACACTTTCCACCTTGATCTAGTAAAATAAATTTTAAAACGATACGGTCAACATAATTTTTGCAGCCGTGATTAAAAATTTACCATTAGTCATATAGGTTAAGGTCACATGCACTTTCTAAGGTTATTAGACACCACGGCAGAAATAATCAGTGGAACAGTCCAATGTCTCTTCTTTTTGTAGCATATTTCATGAATTTGGTAAGTCATGCTGTGCTATTTTCATACTAACGAAGAAAAATAATTTGTTTACTCGTGAATTTCTTTATAATCATCATCAATTCTTGTTTCTCCCATCGAAGTGTAAAATTCTAACCAACCATAATATTTCTTCTCGTGAACGAAGAAAAATCGTGTCACAAATGATTAACCATTCTAATGTACCATGAAAATAACTTCCTTTTAACGACAAGAAGAAATATCGAATAATCAAGAAGGACTTTTTGGTTATCAATTCTTGTTTCTCCCATTGAAATGTAAAATTCTAACCAACCATAACTTTTCTTCTCGTGAACGAAGAAAAATCGAGTTGTGTAGGGTTAACAATTATAAAGTACCATAGAAATAACTTCCTTTCAACAACAAGAAGAAATATCGAATAATGAAGAGGAACTTACTTGAAGCTGATTTTGGTTATCACAGGCAATGAGAAGAAGGACTGGACCGCATCGTCCATTAGGGGGTGCGCCTTGACAAAGTTCACGGTTACATCTGGAAGTGTCCTGGAGTCGTTCATGCATGCACCGGGTCTAGGCTCGGGCACCTTTTCCGGAAGTACTCGCAGCCAGTTGCTGTTTATCGTCTCTTGCTCCTTGAATGCACCTTGGAAGACTTCTAGGACGTTCTTCATGGAGAACGCACAGACCGCCGAGCCGCCGATCGAGTTCACAGGGGTCGTAAACACCCCATAAACCAAACGGGCACGCTCGCCGGCGTAAACACCTTCCGTGACATCGCTCGTTGACTCTGTAATAATTGTAAATCGCTCGATAAATCTCCTCCTTCCCTCGACACACCACTTTTATTTGCTTAATTTCACGCGTTCATCGCGGACATCGATTTTCCCTCTTGTTTTCCCATTCGAATATTTTCACCCTGGCTATTTTTCAGATCCTTCAAATGTTTTTCTGTTATTTTCTAGCGAATTGAATTGTTTATCGCAGGGAGAAGAGATTTTTGATAATTATTCATCGTGATGATGGGAAAAAAATAGAAATTTCTATACGAAGAGTGATAATTAAATTTACGATTTTTTAAATGTAATTTATGTTACGATGGATTAAGTTTAATCACCACTATGTGGATTAATACGTTATCGCAATTTTTATTAGCTTTCAAACAGTACTTTTTCTCAGATATTGTGAATATTATTATTGTTAGAAAAGAGAAATCTTTATTATCATGCGAGTCCTAGCTTCAAACAATATTTCAAAGCTGCGTAATTAAATATCTTCGCGACGTCAATTAAACTTTTCTTAAAATCTAATTGACCACATTTATTTCTTTGGGTCACAACTTTTTTATCTCTCAAGCACCACTTTTTCTCAAATAGTACGAATATAATGTCGTATATTATAATTGTTAGAAAAGAGAAATCTTTATTATCATGCGAGTCCTAGCTTCAAATAATATTTCAAAGCTACGTAATTAAATATCTTCGCGACGTCAATTAAACTTTTCTTAAAATCTAATCAACCACATTTATTTTTTTGGGTTACAACTTTTTTATCTTTCAAGCACCACTTTTTCTCAGATATTACGAATATAATGTCGTATATTATAATTGTTAAAAAAGAGAAATCTTTATTATCATGCGAGTCCCAGCTTCAAACAATATTTCAAAGCTGCGTAATTAAATATCTTCGCGACGTCAATTAAACTTTTCTTAAAATCTAATTGACCACATTTATTTCTTTGGGTCACAATTTTTTTATCTCTCAAGCACCACTTTTTCTCAAATAGTACGAATGCAACGCCATATATTATTATCTATTATTAGAAAAGAAAAATCTTTTCCAATGTGTCACAAAATTACGTTAAATATCTTCGGGACACCAAAAACCCTATTACTTAATATTGATAACGTACGAAGTATCAAACTGACTCGTTTCATCCAAAGAATTCGATCGTTTAAAGTGCTTCGAACTTCTCAAATTCAATTACAATCGAAACTTATACTTTCCCCGACTATCGATAATGTTACAAACGTGGAAACTGTGCCACGCTCTCGTTAAGGATTAAAATCCTCCGTACGGTTTCCAGGATAATTTCTATTTTCGAATAACTGTTACTTAGGCGAAATTATTAACCGATTATTATTACTATTATTATTATTCAGCCGGCGTGGTAGATGCACGGTATTGTACACCATTAATTCGATATCCTCGTTAAGTGATAATAACAATTTCGTGTCAGTTCTCCATAAAGCGCATTATAAAATTAGTATCCTTATAAAAATAACAGTTGAAGTTTGCTGTACATGCGAGAAATTGTAATTCCGTGGCTGGTAATAAGGTGTTAATATTAATCTGAGCGGCGACCTCTGGCATAATGGGGCGAATGACGTTACGCCATGGCGTAATATCAATTATGCTTGCCGCGTGTATATGCTGGAAAACATGTCCTTTTCGGGGGCCGCAGTTGCTCGCCGCCACCGAAAATGTTAATAACATTTCCCGTGTATCGGGTTTAATTGAAAATGACCGGCTAATATTTCGTTAATTAACGTCGGTTAATCGTGAAGTGGGCGATTTCATTTTCATCGTGCGATCGTTTGCGCTTAGAAAATTGCTAATTTCACATTTACAGAATAGTTCTTGTTAACAAAGTAAGGACAGTTACGTGTGTGAATATGTTTGTGTTTGTTCGTGTGAATTAGCATGAAACTTTCAGCGAAACTGAAATCGTAATTATGGCCGCGCCTCGTTACGTTTCGTATTTATCTTGCAACGACGTTATTTCTTCGATAAAGTACTGTACTGTCGTGAAATTATTTAGTATCCAGTCTGGAATATGAAAATTTGCTTAAAAGTCACGTTTTATGGGATGATTAATGTATTTGTGGGTCGATGTAATTTCTTTAGCTCGTAAAATGTTTGTTTCCTGTCTTTTTTGTTTTAATTTCTCTTGTTTTATATATATTTAGATAACAATGATTTAAAAATAGCAAAATAAGGACACTTCTCAACATTCTCACTCGTCGTATGTTGATCATTACAGCTGTTTCCTTATATACCGGGTGTCTCAGTCTTTTTTTGGTTAAAAGTTATAATAAAAATAGAAAATACAAAAATTGCAGTAGCAGAAGTGACATTCAACACTTTAAACGAGCTCAGATAGTAAATACAGCTCGCATAAACAGATAATATGTACATATCGTTGATCTATGCCTGTTTTGTAACATAACCTCACTTTCTCCTCGTATTATCGCTATAACTCTTCAACAAAGCTTTAAACGACCTATGTTCATATGACATTTTCTTCTTACTTACACCCATAGAACATACCGACAAAGTTTGATCGCAAACAAATCAGGTCGAAAACATAACCTTAAATTTCTAAACCGAATAAAACGAAATTTCCAAGTCTCTTTATATTCACAAGAAATTCTACCCATTAATACTTCCATAACCTTGCTGTTCCATTTCTACTACCGCGAAAAATCCTGCAGATACTTGGTATCGGTAATTTTCCGCCGACGAAAATCTGCACCGGAAATTAAATTACCCGCTGTCGATAATAAGCGGAGAAAAACGAACGTGGAAAGCAACGAGGGGCGATATCGAGACGAAACGAGCAATCGTTGGCGAAACATAGGATCAGGTACGACGTTAAAGAGGTTCCACGTCTACCGAGTTATCCTCGCGGCAAAACAAAATGGTCGGCCTCTCACAAAGAGCCATCCGGGGGGGTGATCTTAAATTCAAATTCGTCCTTAATGCATAGTTTGGCGCGACACGGCTCGTCGTATCTCGACGTTTTAGTTCCCTTTTAAATCACGGCCACTTCGAATCGACCGTGAACAACCATTTGACGGCTGTGGCGCGGGCGATTAATATTAAAAATTCCACGGGAACAATTAATTTAAAGAAGCGTAATCGAAGCGAGGAGGGTCTGAATGAGAGCCGGTGGAACAATAACTTTAAAGAAGCGTAATCGAAGCGAGGAGGGTCTGAATGAGAGCCGGTTGAAAGAAAACGTGGCGAAAGTTTTCTGTCACCTGCTCGTTAATTCCGCACGAACGAGACTAAAAACCATTAATGCGGCCATTCTTCGCGGGGGACATTAGCGCGAAGAAAGGGTAATTCGTGTTCGATAAAACATTGAATAAAACGGGCGGTGTGACGTCTTTCGGTTGGCAAACGCGACGGGAAACTTAGAAGACGGTAGCTTTCAGGGAATTTTTTTTTTTTTTTTATTAAAGGTGATCGTAGATTAATCTTCGGAAAGGATGTTTCTGTGGATCGAGAAGAAATTGACGATATCGTTTTTGTATGGGAATGTCGCGTGAATTTTAATACGATTCTTGGATGATGAGGGGCTTTTTTGTTTTTACTGTTTCTGGGGGAAATTAAGTTTAATTACCGACGGAGTTGAAATTCAGTTTCTGCTTCTTTTTACCGCTGGTTTTATTCTTGTAGAACAGTTATCAGTCGTTGGTCACCATGTTTACAAATTTCTCAATTTTTGCTGTACAGGATTTACGTGCTTATTACTCGCAGCAAACTTCCCGGGGAGGCTAAGCTAATTTCACTAGAAAGTTACCGCTAAAGGGCGCCCGTCCTAGTTTGTATCAGGTTAAGAAATCGCGTGGCAGAAACTCGGAATGATTTCGCTGAACTAATAAGAAATTTTCAAAAACGTGTAGTATTGGTGTTCTTTGTGCGGATTTGTCTCTTTGTTAGTTCTGCGGAACGTTGATCATCTGTGATTTTTTTCAGATTTCTGCGATGTCAGGTGTTTAATTACGGAGTCTCGAAAATTAGTGTAAAACATATTTTACGAATATGATATAACCATTAAAATTGTACTATGAAATGAAATAGAAATCGTTTTAACGAAGTAGTTTTCGCAAATCCTTGCCTCACGTCAGCATCGGATTTCCTTCGTTTGTTGTACGCGAAGATTGGCACAATATTCTTATTCGTTAGAATTAATTAGTAGAGCAAAGTTAAAATTATTTCTCATTGGTTAAGTAAACTTAAGACAGATTATTTATATCTTCTATTTTATGTGTTGTAGACAAATATCCTTTATGTCACAGAATGGAAGAAACGTAATACGAGAAATGAAGATTACTAACAAGGGACATCACCCAAACGTTACACGCCGATTTCGATGAAACTTTTATATGTTGTAGAACTTGAAAATATATTTGACACGTATTTTTTTTTTTATGTGCGAATATTCACTCTGAAGAGGTGAAAACAGCCCTTAAATTTGGGATTGAAAAAGTTATTTTCACAAACATATCTCGGAAACTGTTAGCCGTAGGTAAGAAATTCGAAATGCAAATTTTGCAGTTTCAGAAGGCCAATAATATGGCGCAAGCAGACTTTTGAAAAATTTGTTTATTTAAAAAATAAGTTCTGCAAATATTTTTTATGAAATGTTGGACTGTTTTTATCAAATTTCACATATGCAAGCTACAGCTCTACACCCGTTGTAAGTTAGAGATAAAATAAAAAAATGAATGGAAATATGTGACATTGAATAAACAGTATTTACTTGAATATACAAAAACAGTTAAGTTGATAAAGTAAACTAATCCACTTTGAAACTTTACAAAAAGTATGATTAAAGGAAAGAATCATCAAAATAAATTATGTTTCACTGAAATTTGATTTCACTAAAAAAATTCTGCTTAATAATCAATATTCATTTAAAAATTTTTCTCAAAAGCACTTTCATGCGTTACTTTAAATTTCAAGTTACCAATCATCCATTACTATCTATCCTTTATTTAT